TTTTTATATTGATTAAAGTCAAAATATTTTGGATACACTGTGTTAAATGAAATGCATTAAAAAAAAGTTTTATGGGTTGCTTTTCACTTCGCTTTTAATGTGCGTTTCCAGAAAACTTAAAATTACAGATGTGGCTTGCATTTGTGGCTCACAGTAAGTTGACCCTTGAACAATGTGGGGGGTGCAGGGTGCCAGCCCCCCGTTAAGTTGAAAATCTCTGCATGACTTTTTTTTTTTTTTTCAACGTTTATTTATTTTTGGGACAGAGAGAGACAGAGCATGAACGGGGGAGGGGCAGAGAGAGAGGGAGACACAGAATCGGAAACAGGCTCCAGGCTCTGAGCCATCAGCCCAGAGCCCGACGCGGGGCTCGAACTCACGGACCGCCAGATCGTGACCTGGCTGAAGTCGGACGCTTAACCAACTGCGCCACCCAGGTGCCCCTCTCTGCATGACTTTTGACCCCCCCCAAACTTAACTACTAACAACCTACTGTTGACTGGAAGTCTTACTGGTAACACCAATGGTCGATTAGCCCAGATTTTATATGTGATGTGTATTATATAGTCTCACAATGAAGAAAGCTAGAGAAGAAATATTAAGAAAGTCTTTAGGAAGAGAAAATCTGTTTATAGTACTGGACTGCATTTATTTTCTTTAAAAAAAATTTTTTTTTAACGTTTATTTATTTTTGAGACACAGAGAGACAGAGCATGAATGGGGGAGGGGCAGAGAGAGAGGGAGACACAGAATCGCAAGCAGGCTCCAGGCTCTGAGCCATCAGCCCAGAGCCCGACGCGGGGCTCGAACTCACGGACCGCGAGATCGTGACCTGAGCTGAAGTCAGAGGCTCAACCGACTGAGCCACCCAGGCGCCCCTGGACTGCATTTATTAAAAAAAAAAAAAAAGCCCCAAATAAGTTGGCCTGCACATTACACACCCATCTTTTTCAGGGGCCAACTGTACAATTCTACCAAACAGCTCTGACCTGGAAGCTGGACAGGGTGTCCCAACTTTCAGGCTTCCCAGGCCTCGCCCCTGCCACATCTCCTTCTGAAGCAGGCAGGCCGAGCTCCACCTGGCTCCTTGTCCTGCCCCCAGGGCCTCCCCTCGCCTGGAGCTTGCGTCCTCCTCTGTGGCGTGAGCAGCTGAGGTGGACTAGTCCAAGGTCTCCCCCCAGCACTGTGCCAGCTACGACTTCAAGCGGTAGCTGCTTGCATCCCCCAGCCTGGAGCACGCAGGCCGAGTGACGTGGGCCACTCGCAGCTCGTGTGGCCGGAGCCCAGAGCAGGGCTGATCAGAACTGAAAGCCGCCCAGGTCCCAGTTCCAAGGCCGCCATGCACGCACGCAGCTGGGCAACAGGGTGGCAGCTGGGACCATGTGCCAGGGCTTATGCGCCGCCTCCCCCCCCCCCCCCCCCCCCCCCCCCTCCCTGGGCTCCTGCAGAGAGGGGCATTCTTCTGCCTGCTGAAGCAGATGGTGGCAATTGCCGGCTTTGCCCTGGGAGCCATCACCTGCCAAGCTCCCGTGTGGCCCTCGATCAGGCCAGACTTGCATCTCTGCAAATTGCCCTGTTTGAACAGAAGCTCTGCCACCAGGCCCGTGGAGCCGAGCTGACTGATAAGCTCTCCCGCCTCACGCTTCCTTGGCCCGCTGAGGAGCGAAGGTGCCTCCACCAGCTGGGCCTGGAGAGGTGAGGGCTGCCGGGGCAGGGCGTTAGGGATGAGCCTCCCTCTGCCTGCAGGCGCCAGGGGAGGCAGAGCTGTGGGCCCCGGAAACCAACAAGCCTGGAGGTCAGCCTGGAGACAAGCAGAAGGTGACCATGGCTGCCTAAGAGCAGGACAGGAGGAAAAGGAGCTCTTCCTTTTGGGCCTTTTACAGGAAGAGTCTAGCAATTCAAACCAGCCAACAAACGAACCCCACCTATCGCGAGATTAGGGCCCCCCATACTGGATGGCGAGACAGAGAATACAGGGTGACCTCAGGAGTCCTCAAGTCCCAAGTTGGCCTGAGAGGACAAGGTCAAGGCGGCCTTCTGATGTCTGTTCCCCTCTAGGAGTGACTTCCCTTCCCTAGCCTTGGGCCACAGAGGCCGGCCCAGTCCAGGTGCTGGACCAGTGCTGGGACGGCCCAGCCTCTGGGCCGCAGTGAAGCCTGCTATTGCACAAGCAACCCCTATGTTCCAGAAAGTTCCAGAAGTCTGCAGCTGCCCACTGTCACCCAGGAACTGCTGGGCCTCCAGGTCTCCCAGGGTGCCCAAGGGCTCCGGGCTGCCACCTTGAAGACCTGCGGCCCACCTGTGAAGTTCAGGTCTGGTGGAGGCGGCGAACCTGCACGGAGCCCCGGGCACTGGCCTGAGGAAGGACGAGGTTTACAGAACAAAACCGAAAGAGCTAGCAACAGTCTTCACAGCTGAGGAGCAGCCCTTCCTAATTAGTCTTCCCTGCCAGGAAATTGGAAGCACCCAGGACAGGCAGCTCTGTGGACTCGGCTGGTTGTCCTGGTGACACTGTTTAGACCCAGCAGGGCCCGGCTCTGGAGGGAGGGCGGCAGAGAAAGGCTGTGGGGTGCGCTGAGGGAAGCCCACCCCGGCCAACTCCCTGCACGGCAGCCCTGCTTCCTGGACCCGGGGTTCACACTGTCCCAGGAGAGAGCCGCTCGCTGTTGGGCTACAGTGAGAAGAGACTTCCATGAACGGGTCCTAGCTGGGCAGGAGCTCCTCCCGCCAGGCCCCAGGTCAGAGCCCCGAAGGGGCACAGGTGCCAACGGGCTACAGGCAGCACTGGAGGGAGAAGCACGTGTTCTAATGCCAGCTGCGTCCACAGAGGAGCGAAGGGAAGTAAATTCCTCTTTGTCAAGTGGCTGTTGGGTACTAAGCCCTGTGCCTGCTGTCCTTCTCCATTAGAGACAGACGCCCCTCTTTTACAGGTGAGGACCTCCACACCCTCTCCACTCCACACACGAGCCAGAGCGAGCTACCACCACCAGCTTTCGGGGACCGGTTACCTGTCTGCCTCCTGCCAGATGTGGCTCTTTTCCACGTGTGAGGAGTCCTTCAACCACAGACTGAGCATGAGGACACACAGTGACAGTTAATGGAGGTGGAAAGAAAGGGGACCACAGAGGCCGGGCTCCCCCTCCAACACAACGCAGAGGGCGCGGCCGGGAGGAAAGCGGAGCCCCGCCTGCTTGGGGTTTTCTGCAGGTCCTGGCACCTGACCAGAGCAGCTCGCCAGACGGATGGACGGGCTCTGATAGGGCCGTGGAGGCTGTCACGGTCCCGCCTTAAAGCAAAACTAAAAATCAAACCTTAGATCCTGAGATCAGTCCCTTAACAGTTCGAAATTGAAAAGGTCAGACAAAAGGTTCTCGGGAACATTCCATCGGTATTCATCATCCGAGATCCTATTTCCTCCAACTCCTACCAACTGGTAACACCACTAACATTGCAGAGCGCTCACCGTGCTGGGTGGTGCTTGCCGCCGGGCCCGTCCTGCCCGTGCCCCGTGCAGGCTCCCTAACACCTGGTAGACCCACGGGCTAGATTCTTCCAGCTGGGGCTGTCAGGATGCAGGCAGCTTCCAATTTATCTCTCGGCTTTGGAACATCGATAAATTTTACAGCTAAACCTGGTTTCCGTCTCTTCCATAGCAACAAGTGTCTTAAAAATAAAACTAAAACCAACACATGTTTTTCCGATCTTTGGACATTTTCCTAGGCCTCTGAAGGTTCCAAGCTTGTGAAGGCTGTGGATGGCCATGTGCTGTTTAGAATTCTGCCATCAGCTAGCTTTTGGTACGGACGATGCCAGATGAGCCAAATCGGCATCACAGCATCACAGTGGCCAGGCGGAGCACAGCCCCTCCCGGGAAGTCCCCGGAGTCCATCGTCCTCTCCTAGAGGGGGTGAGGCCACCGTGGGGGGAGGGGTGCACTGCCACCACAGGCTGTCACCTCAGGGCCATGGTCAAAGGCTCAGGATGCCACCAGGAGATGGGACCCAGCCTGGCAGTGTTTCATTTCCAACAGGGAATCCAAGAATTCTCAGCTTAATGTAAAACCAGAGAGGCCCAGTACCCCAGAAGAATCACAAGAAAGGAGGAAAAAACATAGGAAACTGGTAAGGCAGGGCTTGTCTGACCCCAGGTGTCTCAACGCTCCTTTTTTCCAAACAGGACCAACAGATTCACGGGCAACAAACTTGGCCAAATTATGTCTTTGAATCTGATGTTCAGCATTATCCCCTGGGAACTGAAGTTAGCTTTTCACTACTACCGCTTCTGCAAATCAAGACCGCCACCACTCAACAGACAAGCAAATAGAAACCATGAGCACAGCAGCTGTAGGGCATGTTCTAAAAGTGCAGAGACCATGGGCGCCCTGGGCGGCTCGGTCGGTTAAGCGTCTGACTTCAGCTCAGGGTTCGAGTTCCAGCCCCGCGTCGGGCTCTGTGCTGACAGCTCAGAGCCTGGAGCTGCTTTGGATTCTGTTGTCTCCCTCTCTCTCTGCCCCCCCCC